ACTTCTATTTTAGGAAAGTTCTTATGGGATCTGGTGGCTGCATTTGAAGTGATCGAGGAAAGAAACCAGGGCTTTATCTTCCCCCTGCAGAGACTTTTCATAGCTCTTAAGGCCTGTGGGCTCTCATAGGTTCTTCTCTTTGCACTGCAGGAAAGTCTATCACTGCTATCCCGGTCTGGAGATGAACTCCGCTAGGACAATTACCTGGTCAGAAAACAAATCTTGGCCTGAAATGCCAGTGCTGCAGTGACCTGGTGGCTCGTCTGGGTCCTTCACAGAAACTGTGAGCCACACCTCCGTGACTGCTCTGTGTCCCAGCCTGGCTCACCTACATAGTGATTGAGGATTGATTAGTCCCTATTGAATTCCTCCAAAATTTAGGACTAATCTTTTTTTGTTTTACTTTATAAGTTACTATTTGTGTGTGGCAGACACATGGGGGTCGGAAGACAACTTTTTTTTTTTTTACTTTTTCTTTCCCTTTTCATTTTGAGACAAGATGTGTGATGTGTGTATCCCTGGCTATAATGATATTTCACTTGTATTTTAATAAATAAAACTTGCCTGAAGATCAGAGAGTAAAACAGTACCACTGATCAGCCTTACTTACAGACAAGGCAGTGGTGGCCCACACCTTCAATCCCAGCACTCAGGAGGCAGAGGCGGGTGGATCTCTGAGTTTGAGGTCAGCCTGGTCTACAGAGTGAATTCCAGGACAGCCAGGAATACACAGAGAAATCCTGTCAAAAAAAAAAAAAAAAAAGATGTGCACCACCATCCCTGGCCTGGAGGACAGCCTCAGGTCCTCAGGTAAGTGCTTTTACTCGCTGACCCAGCTCTGTAACCTAGCTTGGGGTTATTTTAGAATCCAAAGATCTTGTCAGTGTGGCAGGCTCTGTGCTTGGATTGTTTTTTTCTAAACCACATTGTTGATTGATTTAGAGTATGTGCATGCATGTATGTGGCCATGTGCGCGCGTGCGTGCGTGCGTGCGTGTGTGTGTGTGTGTGTGTGTGTGTGTGTATGTGTGTATGCACGCACAAGAGCCATGAAGTGTACATGGAAACCAGAAGATGACTAGCTGGAGTCAGTTCTCTCTACATAGCACATGGGCTCCAGGGGTAGAGCTCAGATCCACGATGCTCAGCCAGCTGGCCTGGTCTCTGTGTTCTAGTCCGGGGACTCCCTACATCAGAGAATGTGCAGTAAACGAACCCAACGGTTTCCCGATTCGTATCTGCATATAGAGGCTCATTCCAAGTGCACTACATATTAAAATCGCCTTGTCAGAACGTCAGAACACTCCTGTGCACAGGCCCATCACTCACTTCCCCCTCGTAGGTACACTCTACATTGAATAACGGGAGGGCAGATAATAACAGGGCTAGAAACACCGTGTCTGAACTCATGTCTAGAAAGGTCTTTGTAGCTCTGTAGAAGAAGCAGTGGCTTTAAGCAGCTTCTGCTAAAGTGTGCTGTCTAAACAACTCCAGAGTTCTGCAACCCAGGCCAAGTGGTCATGCTCCACTGACTTCTCTCATCAAGTCACCATTGCCAAATTCTGTGGCACATTGTCAATGCAAAAACAAAAACAAAAACAAAAAAAAACCCAAAAAACATTTAAAAGCTTTAGGCCTTGTCTGAGCTTCACAAGGAAGGAAAGAACAAATCCAGGGATTGTTACTTCAGGGACCAATTTGTACAGAGAAACATATCTTTGGGGTTTGCCAACTTTTTGAAGAATAAAACTCCAGTCTTTCAGAAAAAAAAAAACCAACAATTGAAAGAATGAAAGAATGTTTGTAGTGAAATTTGAATACTCAGGGGTTCATGCTACACAGGAATTCAGTGATATCATCATAATATCAAGATGGAGTTTAAAGTCATCCAGTGTGTGACCTGGTCTAGGCGAGTTTGTTCCTTGGAGAGAGGAAAAGCCTCCCACTCGAGATGCCTGTGCACTGAGAGTCCTGTCTACATGAGGAAAACTGATGTTGGGAAGGTAGCCAGTGAGCATGGTTAGGGTCCTCTCTGAGACAATGAAAGCAATAGTAATGATCTTAAAACAACAAAAACTGGGAGGTAAAACCACAAAGTTAAACAAAAGCAGGTGCATTCTTTAAAATGGGGTTCTTAAACTATTTCTAGACACAGTCTTGTTTTACCTGAGAATTTCCTTCTCTTTGTGTGTGTGCATGTGCATGTGCGTGTGTGTGCATTTGTGTGTACAGCTGTGGGCACGTGTGCAACTGAATGAGTGTTAAAGTCAGATGACACCTTGTTTGAGGCAGACTCTCTGTTAGTTTTCTGCTACATAGCTGACTGGGTGGCCGACAATATTTTGGGCTTTCTTCTGTCTCTGCACCATCCCCCACTACCCCCTGGGGGCAATGGGATGGCAGAAGCTTGGGTACATGCTCTAGTGTACAAATGTCTTCTCTCTGTTTTGGATATGTAACTAGTACTGAAAATACTGAGAAACCATAAAATTGTTTTACAGAAAGGCTCCCATGTATTTTCTCAACAGTGTAGAGGCTCCAGCCCTAGTTTCTTCAAGTTTTCCCTAGCATGTCTCTTTCCTTCTCTCTCTCTCTGTCCTTCCTCATAGACGTCTAGTAGATATGACATGCTGCTCCATTTTCATTGTATTTCTTCAAAGTTAGAGATAATATTTTTATTTTTGTTTTTTGAGACAGGGTTTTTCTGTGTAACAGCCTTGGCTGTCCTGGAACTCATTTTGTATAGCAGGCTGACCTCAAATTCAATGAGATCCACCTGCCTCTGCCTCCTAAGTGATGGAATTAAAGGTGTGTGCCACCACTGCCTGACTGATTAATGGTATTTTTAATGTTGGTTCATCCATTTTATTTAATTAAAACTTTATTATTCTGAGTAGTGGTGGCTTATGCCTTTAATTCCTGCTCTTGGGAGGCAGAGAGGCAGGCAGATCTCCGTGAGTTTGAAGCCAGCCTGGTCTATAGGCCTAGTTCCAGGACAGCCGAGGCTACACAGAGAAACCCTGTCTTGAAAAAACAAAAATTAAAAAAAATTACTACAAAGAACTTACAAATAATAAAAATAAAAGATGCCGTGCAGTTCAGTTAGCCAGACCCAAAGTCTACCCATCCAGTGAGTGTCTAAACAGGGAGACGCAGCCGTGCTGAAGCTGGAGAGGTTCACATTGCATTGTGTGGCCTGAGTTCATCCCTGGAGTCCACGTGGTACGGAAGAACTGATGCATACAAGTTATTCTCTGACCTTCACATGGGTGCCTTGGCACACACATCTCCAGTAAATGAATAAAAATTTAAATGGAGAAAGCATGTTGAATCATTAGGGACTTATAGATGAGATGTGATGGCCTGTGTTCCTGGGGACAGAATCACAGAGGGCTGTTGCATTTGAGATAGGGTCTGAACCACATTGAGGGGCTGGAGAGATGGCTCAGTGGTTAAGAGCACGTACATGCGTAGGCTCAAATTTAACTCCTAGTTTTCACATTAGATGACTCACACCTGCCTGTACCAGCAGTGCCACCAGAGTTGAAAACCTGTGGCCTCTGTGGACACCTACAGTCTTATTTATGCGCACACACACAATTAAAATTTAAAAACTGTGTGAAGGATGTGATTTCACCATCATTAGTTCCTCTGCAGTTTAGACCATGACTTAGACATTACCTTTCTGCCCTGACTATAAAACATGCTTTGGGACTTTGGGAGTCTTTGTCAGATGGCTCCGTACATTTAGGATACAGTGTTATCGTTTTAGACTCCACTTGCTGGGAATGCAGTCTGCCCCATTTCTCCATCCTGGCTCATTTGCTGTAATTTTCATTTTCCTTGTGTAAGATGACAATGGCACTGCCATAAATTCATGGCTAGATTAACCCTTTCATAGCTTTAAAGGCCTCTCTTCTATACCACGCCTTGCCAGATGTTCTCAGCTGGCCTTGTAGTGTGTTAAATGTTGATTTCTGTGGTGTTTTTCCATGAGAAGAGTATTTAATCTGATTATTCACCACAGCACTGTTAATATTAGAAAGGCTGGTTTTATCCTAAGTGATAACATATTCTGTTAAAGACAGTAGACAGTCTCCCCGGGGGGCTCCTCTGTGAGAAGGGAAATGGACGAGATGGCTCTTGAAATGTTTTCTTGTTCAGTTCAGTGATCCATATCCTTCTTTTAGATGGCCATCAAATGACAACTGGAATTGGAAGTTACTGATGCCCCCTTATTGCTTGCCACCTTCACTTTACTGTCTTGTTGCCACAAAAATAAGCATGTTTTACACTCATCATTTTCCTGTTAGGGAATTTAGGAGTTTCTGGAGTCTGAAGCTGCCCTTGGTGGTGACGTTTATTGGATAATTGCTTAGTCTCCTATGGAATTTCCATTTGTAGATTACACTGGGCTCTACACTCTCTATTTCTTTGGCAGGAAAATCCAAAAGCAACAGAATGCATTTTTTCCTCCTGTTCCTGGCTCAGTTTGAACAATGACTCACAGGAGCCCTGGGGCTTTGCTTCGCATTTTCATTTAGGGGCCACTTCTCCCCGTGTCTACTTTGTCTCTGGTGTCCCTTTGGAATCATCTCTCTCCTTTGACACGTAGGATTGTCTCTGTAGGTATTGTAGGGGTGCGCATAGTACTGTAGCACCCTAAAACAGACAGCCATGGTGCCAGGGGGAGTGAAGGAGAGGCACCCCAGAAGATACAAGTAGCAGTTTCATCAGGTAAAGACAAGGAATCTCGTTTAACCTTAAACCTTCTGAGAGGCACACAGCAGAGGTGACATGACCTTCCAGGGGCCCCAGTTGTACAAAAACGTTTTTATAGAAGGACTTGATCTAATCTCTAGTTGAGAATTTTGCAAGTGGAAAAAAATAGACACCCCTCCCCTGTTCACCAGTAGGTCTTTCTCTCTGATTTACATTTCATTCTGGTTCCAGCCTTCTGAATTTCATCTAATGATGAATTTTTCATTTTTCTTCTTCCAGTTTTAACAGTGTATGCCAAGGAACGCACATTCTCTTCCGGGAATTCAGCTTTATCCAAGCGACACCTCACAATCGGGCATCGTTTCTACGGGCCTTCTGGAGATGCTTTCGAACCGTAGGCAAAAACGGTGGTAAGTGTTCTTAACTCTATTTCTCCCCATTCCCTCCCCTCCCCCTTTTTATCCTTTCCAAGCATTTTCCTTATTTAAAAATACCATTTATGCATTGGATATTGTTCATGTGTGTGTAGGTTGCAAAAGTGACCTATTTAAGGTGTTTGGAATGCACGTTGAAGGTAGCGGTGACCTATTTAAGGTGTCTGGAATGCACGATGAAGGTAGCGGTGCACACGTGAAGGTCAGAGGACCGCTCTGAGTAGCCGTTTCTCTCCTACCACCTTGGGGGTTCTGGGGATTGAACTCAGGTCATCAGGCTTGATAGCACGTGATGTTTTACCTTCTGATCATCTTGCCAGCCCGTACAGTTTTTAGTATGGTCCTCTGATACGGTTTGAGCCTATGGTTGTAGGCTTTGGAGTACCTTATTTTGAGGAGATGACTATACTGTGTTAGAGATATTATTAGCCATCATCACAGTGATGCCCATTAAGAACCGAGTATAGTTCTGAAATAGGACCAGAGAGCTAAGCAACTGGGAAGGGTACAGAGTGAATGACAGACCCAGATTAATGCCCTTGCAACCTGACTTCAAAGTTTTTGCTCTTGGCCAATATAATAAGTAAAAGGAATAAAGTAAATACATGTTATGGCATTTCTCTCACTGCATTTTTCAGCTTTGTGTTCTTTACAGTTTCAAGCTTTGTGCAGGTTCTTACCATGCAAGATACAGACCAGCACCATTTCTATAATAGTGCGCTGTGCTCTTTCTCCCTCTCCCTCTATCTAACTCTTCCATTGTCACCAGATATTTTGTAGCAATTCTGCTCAGTGATCTTTGATCTTACCGTTCCTTTGATTTAGGGGCATGACTGGTGTCTCTGTAGGTACTGAACTCAAGTGTTGCGCATGTTCCGTGCTCTGCAGTGAGCCATCTCCCTTCTCTCCCTCTTCTTGACCCTCCCGCTCTCTAAGGCAGGACGTTGCAATTAGGCAATTACTAACCCTATAGTGGCCTATAAGTGTGCAAGGGGAAAATCGAGTTGTATCACTTGAAATAAATGCTTAATTTTAAGGAGGAAGGCATGTCAAAACCTGAGAGAAGCCAAAAACAAGGCCTCTTCTATCAACCAGCTGATTGTGAGTGTGAAGGAAATCTTGAAGGAAATCTTCTTGGGCTGCTACTCAAATGATAGGAAAGAAAAACTGTTGAGCTGGACATGGTGGCACACACCTGTAATCCCAGTACTAGGAAGTTGAGGATCAGGAGTTGCTATATAGCAAGACATCAAAACACATGGGGGACAGGAGGCCGAGACTTAACTCAGTGGTTAAGAGCACTTGTTGCCCTTGCAGAAGACCAGACTTCCATGCCAAGCACTCATATGGAGGCTCACCATGTAGGGGAAGTAGGTGGGCACAGTGTCCAGCTGTTTCCATTGAGTTTACAAGCTCCTCCATACTGTTCTGAGCAGGTCTCTGCTTCTTTATGTAACCTTTTTAAAAATCATCTCGAATCTTATTAGATCATCTCAACTATCCTGACAAACAGAAAATATGAGCATTTTGCCCACTTTGTAATTAATCAAATTATGTAACTTGGGTGACTGCCTGTTGTTTGAGAAGTTTACAACTATGCTTTCAGGCCTGGCTTACTTTCTAAGCACTTCTCTTTCTCTCTTCTGCCTTATGTTTAAGCCTATATTAAATTAAAATTGTTAATAAAAATCTTGACTCTGAGGAAGAAAAAGAATTAAATAAATAGGAATTGTTTAACTTGGAGGAGGGTTGCACAGCTGGCTCACTGTCAAGCTGCAGTAGACCTGGATATGTTGATGTGCTCACGCAATGCTTTTTCCACTGTTTCTGCTTTGAAGGCTGCTTCGTCCTGTCACACAAGAAGTATCCAGTGTACTGGCAATAGGATCTTTCCCTTTACAAAATGAAAGGTGGATTCAACCTCAAGTGAACTGGTCCACTGGTCTCTATGTAAATGCCCACACACTGTGTGTAAGTGAAGTCTGTACTACAGCAGACTCTGTCTTTGCCAATTCCTTCTTAGTGCCTTGGTCAGTAATAAGAAACTCACTGAGGATCTGGTATGCTGAAGAATGCTGGATTGGTTTTGGTGATATGGCATATAGAGATGACTATGGAAAACAGCCCGAATACCCTTATTTTTTCTTGATTTAGGAGTAGGACTCTTCAGGAATTTATGTACTTTCACAAGGGATTCATATAACATTTGAACTCTAAGCAGATGTGGATTTCTTTATCTTTCTAGTCGCAGCTGCCAGTGATGCATCCAGCTGCTGAGGAAAGTAGCTCCCACATTCCCTGTGATCCTCTGGCCATAAGCAAGACCCAGATTCAGACTTGACACTCATTTCTAGGCTTCTCACTTATGGAGCTTCCGACTTCTTAAAGACCAACTGCAAAGTTTGTGTCTAGATGAACCTAAAATCTTTTCTTAAACACTTCAATACTGTCTCCGCTTCTTCCAGGAACTTTGGAACACCTTCCAGAGTGTGTCAGTTCCTGGTTTTAATCTGGAATGAGCAAAAGTTCTTGGAGGCAGAACTTAGAAGGAAAAGATTTATTAACCCCTACCCCAGTTCGATGCCAGGCACTGACACAGCCGAGCTGCACTGTGCTGTTCTACAGATAACTTCCTTACAGCATTGCATTCACATCTGCATTCGCAGGAAGAGGCTGAACCTTCTGGGAGGTAGCAGAGGAGTTTGCAGTTCCAGCCTGTCTAAAACGAAGCCACCTGTAGAAACTTAAGGAGCTGACCCCTCTGGCAAGAAACATTTCCTTGCAGTTTTTAGCAAGTACAGAGATTCAGTGTCATTTCTGTACGACTGAGTTCTGAATGGTGCTAATTTCCTTGTGTCTGAGTTTCAGATAATATTATGAACACTACAGTAAACCTCTTGCTATCTGGGCAACTTTAGACTTTTGGAAGCAGAAAGATCTATTCAAATGTAAAAGACCTTTAAAATTCATCCCCTTGCTTTGGTATTTCTTTCAGTGTGGAGAGATTAATCTGAATTTTCTGAGCCTAAAAAAGACTGAAATTCGTTTGAAGTTAATCTTTGCTTCTGTTGGGGAGTATCAGCCCCAAAGAGGTTTTTGTTCAGTTTCTTTAGGCACAACTGGATGTCATCTTGTAGAAGAATGAAAATAGACCCTTATCTATCACCGTGCACAAAACTCAAGTCCAAATGGATTAAAGACCTCAATATCAGCCCGAACACACTGAACCTGATAGAAGAGAAAGTGGGAAGTACCCTACAGGAGCTGGGCACAGGAGATCGCTTCCTATGTATAACCCCAGAAGCACAGACATTAAGGGCAACATTGAATAATTGGGACCTACTTAAACTGAGAAGCTTCTGTAAAGCAAAGGACATAGTCAATAAGACACAAAGGCAACCTACTGATTGGGAGAAGATCTTCACCAACCCCACAACAGACAAAGGCCTGATCTCCAAAATATATAAGGAACTCAAGAAACTAGACTTTAAAATGCTAATTAACCCAATTAAAAAATGGGGCACTGAACTGAACAGAGAATTCTCAGCAGAGGAAGTTCAAATGGCCAAAAGACACTTAAGGTCATGCTCAACTTCCTTAGCAATCAGGGAAATGCAAATCAAAACAACTTTGAGATATCATCTTACACCTGTCAGAATGGCTAAAGTCAAAAACACCAAGGATAACCTTTGCTGGAGAGGCTGTGGAGGAACGGGTACCCTCATCCATTGCTGGTGGGAATGCCATCTTGTGCAACCACTGTGGAAGTCAGTGTTTCGGTTTCTCAGGAAATTCGGGATCAACTTACCCCTGGACCCAGCAATACCACTCCTGGGAATATACCCAAGAGATGCTCTATCATATGACAAAAGCATTTGTTCAACTATGTTCATAGCTGTATTATTTGTAATAGCCAGAACCTGGAAACAACCTAGATGCCCTTCAATGGAAGAATGGATGAAGAAAGTATGGAATATATACACGCTAGAGTACTACGCTGCGGTAAAAAACAATGACTTCTCGAATTTTGCAGGCAAATGGATGGAAATAGAAAACACTATCCTGAGTGAGGTGTCCCAGACCCAAAAAGATGAACATGGGATGTACTCGCTCATAATTGGTTTCTAGCCATAAATTAGCGCCACGGAGTCTACAATAGGTGAACCTAAAGAAGCTAAGTAAGAAGGTGAACCCAAGGAAAAACATATAGTTATCCTCTTGGCTAAGGGAAGTAGACCCAATTGCCGGGGAGAAAATTAGGATCTTGGGGGTGGGGTGGGATGGGGGTAAGGGGAGATGGGGAGAGAAAAGGTAGAAGGGAAGGAGGGGGGATTTGGGGAATCAGGAGAATTGGGATAAAGGAAAGGTGGATAGGGGAGCACGGAACCACAATTCTTAGTTAAGGGAACCACTTTAGGGTGAGCAAGAGATTTGACCCTAGAGGGGCTCCCAAGTGCCCAACATGAGGTTCCCAGTTAGTTCCTTGGGTAGCTGAGGATTGGGAACCTGAAATGACCCTATCCGAGAGCAATACTGACGAATATCTTGCATATCATCATAGAACCTTCATCTGGTGATGGATGGAGACAGAGACAGACCCACACTGGAGCACTGGACTGAGCTCCCAAGGTCCCAATGAGGAGCAGAAGGAGGGAGAACATGAGCAAAGAAGTCGGGACCACGAGGCGTGCACCCACCCACTGAGACAGTGGAGCTGATCTACTGGGAGCTCACCAAGGCCAGCTGGACTGTGACCGAAAAAGCATGGGATAAAACCGGACTCTCTGAACATGGCGAACAATGAGGGCTGATGAGACGCCAAGGACAATGGCACGGGGTTTTGATCCTACTTAATGTGCTGGCTTTGTGGAAGCCTAGCCAGTTTGGATGTTCACCTTCCTAGATATGGACGGAGGGGGGAGGACCTAGGACTTACCACAGGGCAGGGAACCTGGACTGCTCTGTGGACTGGAGAG